GGGTAAGACAAACCCTGCACTAACTCATTATGCAGAGACTGGACAAAAACTGATACAGCTTTATAGTTAACCCAAAATTTTCTTTTAAGGATCCCCTAAAGATGTTATCATCCCTAGACAGAAGGAAGTAACTTTAAGAACATGATGTCCACATGGGGTGGGTGTTTTTTTTGTCATTCAATAGGTTATGGATATTTGCCATTATTTAGGAGGATTGGTTACAAGATGTTGGTTATGGTCAGGAAGAGTTGAAGAAAGAGGATTAGATTCAAGGTTTTTGTTATGAAAAAGAAAAAAAAAGGAATACAGCTATTACAGGATAAAAAGGATAGATTATTGAATCTATGCTGAAAAAAGGAGGACATAGATATGAGGTAAGAAGGTAGATTATTGAATCTACTTCTAAAAAGCAACTAGTAGTTTTAAATATTTTATGTAGGATTAGACTTTTGTATGTTGTATACAAATACTGTATAATGATACAAATTTAAAATCAATTGGTTAAAACATACTGTACATATGTTTCTAATACTGTATTGTACCTGTACAGCTCATTTATATCAATGTAATGCAAATTTCTAGTCCTTGAAAGCTATTAATACCAACTGTATAAGATAATAAGGAAATGTAGGTTAGTAATTAGTCAACTATTACAATCAAACTTGTAATCACATTGGGTATGTTTTCAAAGTCAAACAGAGATACATTTTAGAAAGACAGGTCGTTTTCAAACAATTCAGAGATCTACAGAATATGGCATTTAAGGTGTTTTAATGATATAGGTTCTTTTTTTATGACAATGAAACATGTCTGCTCCTGGCAGCACCAATCTACTACAGAGAAGATGATGGGCATCGAAGAAACTCCACATGGAGTTTACCTTCTTTGTGGCAAAAGTAGCCACTGGGCAAGAAAGTGCCCTTGCCTCAACTGCTGACAGTGTGCTGTCCAAATAGGACAAACAGGACACAAAAGAGAGTGACTGCAAACCTTATAAGGTGGGACAGCCCTTCAGAAAATCCTGCTTCACAGGAAAGTCTGTCAGAGAGGCTAGGCCTATAGATCAAAGATAGATGTCCCAATGTTGCAGAAGACACTTGGGTGACTGTCCAGGCAGCCAGCTGTTTCTGTTGTTTCTCGCATTTTTTGGAAGTCACTTGCTTGCCCTTCCTGTTACTTAGTTAATATTTCCTTCTTGGGTCTCTGAGGGACTTGAAGACTAGATAGTATAGTTATAGTTTTCCTTGTTTACCATATTCAGAAAAGAAACTCACTAAACAAATGTAAAGTATATGAGATTGAAAGACATAAAAAGATAATTTCGAGTTGGTAAAGCAAATTGGAATAGAAAGTAAGTAAATTAGGTACAAGGTTTTGGACTTTCCAAGATAGGATAGATAATGAAGTAGTTTCTCTGAATTTGTCAAATGCAAATGAACTAGACATTGTTGATGAATTTACTGCCTGTATATATTGCATATACTTATTGTATTTATTATATACAGTTCTTGTTAGTTGTAGCCTTCTTTTTTTTGTATTAAGACAAAAAGGGGTAAATTGTGGCAATACATTGCTATTTATTAAAGCCACTGGAGATCCAAGTAGCAAAGCAGTCATATTATACGAGTTAGCTATAGAAGCTAGGCAGTGGTGGAACACGCCTTTAGTCCCAGGACTCAGGGTTAACAGGTAGACGGGTCTCTGTTAGCTCTAAGCCACACTCATTACATGAAATTGATCCAGTCCTAAGTAGAAACAGCTCACACACAGGTGATCTCAGTACTTGGGATCACAGGCTTTTTAATCCCAGCACTAGGGAGGTATGAAGAGCAAAGGGTCTCATGTAGAGATACATTCTGCAGTTACGCTGAGGAGAGGCAGCAGTCTGAGGATTGCTGAGAGCTTGTGAAGACAGGATCAGCCTTTTCAGTCTGAGGTAGAGGTATGAGTAAGTGGTTTAGCTGTTTTGCTTCTGGGATCTTCAACCTGAAGTTTGAGCCCCAGCATCAGTCTCTGGTCTTTTATTTACCATGCTACACTATGTGGCTACTTTCTACATTTGACTCTTAGTAAATGTTTTAAAGAGTCACACAGGGCTGGGGAGAAACTTGCTGTTCTTGCAGAGGACCTGAGTTCAGATGCCAGCCTCCACACTGGGTAGCTCACAACCCCAGGTAAACCCAGTTTCAGGGGATCTGCTGTCTGTTTCTGGCATCGATGGGCACCCACATGTACATACACAGAGAAAAACAAATATTTTGCCAGGCAGTGGTGGTACACACCTTTATTCCCCAAACTTGGGAGTCAGAGATAGGTGGATCCCTGTGAGCCTGACCTTCAGAGTGAGTTCCAGGACAGCCAGGGCTACACAGAAAAACCCAGTCTTGAAAAACCAAAAACAACAACAACAAATCTTTAAAACAAAATTCACAGGCCTGGAGATGTGGCTCAGTGAGTAAAGGAACTTGGAGATGAGCCCACTGTTTGCTATTTTAAAAAGCCCATGTAAGTTCCAGTGAGAGCTGGGCGGTGGTGGCGCACGCCTTTAATCCCAGCACTCGGGAGGCAGAGGCAGGCAGATCCCTGTGAGTTCGAGGCCTGGCTGGACCGACAGCCTCCAAAACAATACAGAGAAACCCTGTCTCGTAAAACCAAAAAGTTCCAGTGAGAGAGCTTGTCTTAAAAAAAAAGAGAGAAGCTGGATGGCATCCAAGGTTCAACACCTGAGGCTGTTCTCTGGCTTGCATACTATGCACATGTAGACACAAACAAAGATTATGCCAGAAGGTGCTGATGACAGAGGTAGGAATTCTTTCCCAGTTAAGCACTACTAGGTCTGACACAGTTGAAAGGAAATGCTGGTCATACATACAGAGACACAATTTTACTGGCTACTACCCTGGAACTTAGCTATAATTAAGCATGTTTTACAGCACAGTACTGTCCTCAGGGCTAGGTAAAATGTCCCTTTCTACACAGCTGTGTTCCCACTGCAAGGGCAAGAGGACCATGTTGTCAAACCTGCTGGGAGTCTGCAATACTTTCCTGGATCCCAGGGCACACTGACATGTCATGTCACTGTTTCCAGGAACACAGTGTACGACTTAATGTAAACATACTGTGCATATGCACTTTTTTTTTGTATAGTGGGTGGAGAGTTGGGGCAGGAGAATGTAAGCATGGAATCAGTGGGGTAAAGGCGGGGCTCTGAAAATTCTAAGTTTAAAATTGGCTTTCCATATCATTGTGGAAGTTTGTCTAAAGCAGCAGATCAGACTTGTTTCAGTTACTGTTCTAGGGCTGTGAAAGGGTATCATGACCAGGCAACTTCTATTTTTTTTTTTGGTTTTACGAGACAGGGTTTCTCTGTATTGTTTTGGAGGCTGTCGGTCCAGCCAGGCCTCGAACTCACAGAGATCTGCCTGCCTCTGCCTCCCGAGTGCTGGGATTAAAGGTGTGCCCCACCACCACCTGGCCGACCAGGCAACTTCTTAAAAAGCATTTAACTGGGGGTTTGCTCATAGTTCCAGGGCATTAGTCCACTATTATCAGGACAGGAAGCAGACAGCCATGTTGCTGGAGCACTGGTTGAGCTTTACATCCTGACCCACAGGCAGCAGGTAGAGAGCAAGTGAGCCTGGCAGGAGCCTTTGAAACTCCAAACCCCACCTCAATGACACATCTATTCTAACAAGCGACACTCACTCCATGGCCACACCTCCTAATCCTTCCCAAACAGTTCCACTACCTGGGACCATACACTCAAGCAACCCTGTTGGGGACATTCTCGTTCAAACTACCAGTTTGTTATTTTTATTTATAAAGATGCATGAGTGTCCACAACCATATTCTTGCTTGCTCAGATTCAAGTTTAGGAGCAGGCATGGTAGCAGTATATTACAGGATCAAGAAATAATAACTTCATACACAGTGCACTTTGAACTTAAGGGCAGATTTTCTGAATTACAGTGTAGGAGACGAGTGGTACAAATTTCCTGGCATGACACCAACTGATAAAAAAAAGGCACTCTTCTTTACTCAGTAGCTACAAAAGTTATTTTAGGGGCTGGAGAGATGGCTGATGGGTAAGGGCACTTGTTGATCTTGCAGAGGACATGAATTTGTTTCCTATTAAGGCAGCTCACAACTGTCTGTAACTGAAATTCCAGGGGATACTTGGAGCTGGAGAGATTGCTCAGAGGTTAAGAGTTCTGGCTGTTCTTCCAGAGGTCCTGAGTTCAATTCATAGCAACCACATGGTGGCTCACAACCTTCTATAATGAGATCTGGTGCTCGCTTCTGGCCTGCAGGCAGAACACTATATACATAATAAATACATCTTGAGTACCAAGCTCTCTTTTGGCAGCCACAGGCACCGGCAAACACTGGTACACATACAGTAAAAATAAAGAAAATATTTAAAAATGTATTTGCCTTAGCCAGGTGGTGGTGGCGCACGCCTTTAATCCCAGCACTGGGGAGGCAGAGGCAGGTGGATCTCTGTGAGTTCGAGGCCAGCCTGGTCTACAGAGTGAGTTCCAGGACAGCCTCCAAAACAATACAGAGAAACCCTGTCTCGAAAAACCAAAAAAAAATGTATTTGGCTTTACTTTTTTAGACAGGTATTCCCGTAGGCCAGGTTGGCTTTGAAAGACCTTGAACTTCTTGTCCTCTTGCTCCTACCTCTGAAATGCTAGGATCACAGGACTGTATCACCACGTGTGATGAGAAATTAATTGTAATGGTTTCAGCGTGATGTTGCACATCTTGAAAATGCTAGATATGGATATAATAGTCAAGCCCACTCATTTTCCGCCTCAGACGGCAGAGGTCTTGCCAGGTAAAGTGGCTCTGGCCAGCAGCTGTGAACAGGAGAGTGACAGTCCTTAGCTTCTCTCCTATATGCTACCGTTAACGAAGACACGCTGCCAGCATGTGCCGGCGCCTGCTCTCACTGCTAGGAAATGCTTATTTTGACACTTAATATTTGAGAGCATAAATCAATAGTTGTATATTTATTTAGTAGATCATGAAACGGTCACTCCCTTCTTGGACACTCAGCCCCACTGTACAAGCAAATGATTTCTAAAAGAGAGAATGGAAAAATGCATTTTTAAAAGATCGTTAGACCGACTGATACTGTTCATGTCCAAATCGGATGGCCTACAGAAGTAAACAGTCTTCATTTAATTTTCTTATTTAGCATTGTTTCATTATGAGGTTTTCATATACGTATATATCCTTGTTTGCACATATTCATACCACTGTCCTGCAAAGTCCTCTGCTTCCAAGCCATATACATATACATATTCATCCCCGGAAGAGAACACGAGGTAACTCTTTCTTCCCCTCATTGCCTTTCGTATTTCCAACTCCCCCTGTACCTTTATGTCAAGCGTGTGTGTGTGTGTGTGTGTGTGTGTGTGTGTGTGTGTGTGTGTGTGTGTAGATTCAAACCCAGATTTCATGCATTAGAGAAAATATTCGAAATTTATCTTTCTAGGTCTAGCTACAGGAACTACTCTTAATATTAACAATCTTGCTTATGTAAAAACTAAAACATGAAGTCAGGCACCTTTAATCCCAGCACTGCGGGTGGGGTGGAGATGGTTTGGGGGCGGTGCAGAGGCAGGCAGATGTCTGTGAGTTTGAGGCCAGGCTAGTGTACAGTTTCAGGACAGCTAGGACTACATAGAGAGACTATGACTCAATAAAACAAAACAAAACCCCAAACAGACTAAAAAATGTATTTATAAACAACATTAAAGATTCCATGTCCTAAGGAAGTGGGGATGAGAATAAAAGGTAGCAAAATAAGAAAGCATTCCAATTTCCCGAGGTCGGTAGAATATTCTCGAAAGGCACCTGTAAACTGCAGAACGTCTCTTTTCCCCGGCGATCTGATGACTTGCTACCTTTCCGTGCAGCCTTGCGAGGGTCTAAGAGTTAAAGGCGCGATGCTCTTGTCTCAGGTTTTCTCCTGGGCTGTAACCCACACCCCCCAATTCCAGATCCTTATCTTTCGAGACTGAAAAGTCGACGCACACGCTCGGCGAACTCTCACCGCGCTAACCCTGAAACGCAGAACCCCTTCTTTTTCAAACACAAACAGCGCTAACGGAGTTCCCTCGGCGAGTTAAGGGTGCGGCCGGCACCCAGGCTCAGTTCAACCCTCCCCCCCCAGGGTGACTTTCATCTCCATGCTCCGAAGCGACCCCAGTTGCAGCTCTGCAGGAAACTCTCGTTACGACGAGGCGTCTCGCACGAGTCCATCGGATTCGCGACACTCTTCCTCCCGCGGGGCCGCGCTCCCCGAGCTCCCGCCTCCGTCCCCGCAGGTCCGCCGCCGGCTGCGCCGAGCGGGCCTCTGACCTCCCAGGAAAGCCCGCTCGCTAACCCCGCCCCGGCGGCTTAAGTCCGCGCCTCTGATTGGTGAGTTCAAGGATCCCTCAGTTCAGTAGCCCAATGGAAGCTCGGCCGAGGCCCGGGGACCCCGCCCCGTGCCCCCGCGCCGGGGAGCGGACGAGAGTAAATACGAGAGGAGCGCAAAATGGCGGAGCCGCCGGGCCCCGCGTACTGCGCGGTGGCCGTGCTGGCGGGGAAGGAGGCGTGTGGCAAGCTGCAGCCGGCCTCGCGGCAGCCGGTCACCCCCATGCCCGCCAAGAAGGTTCGGACGGAGGAGAAGAAGGCGCCGCGGAGGGTGAACGGCGAGGGGGGCAGCGGCGGGCACGGCAGGCAGCCGCCCGCCGCACCGTCGCCTCGGAGCTTCGGCAGCCCCGCGGCTTGGAGCTTCGCGGCTCTGCCCGCCGCCGCCCCCGCCGCCGCCGCCGCCTCGCCGGCCTCTCCGCGGAGCTGCTTCTCCTTCCCGGCGAGCCCGGCCGCCTCCTCGGCCCCCGCTTCCTCGTCTCCTCAGCCGCCGGCGCGCAGACTGCCGGCCGCCCCGTCGCCGCTGCTCGCCCTGCTCCCGCCCGCCGCCCCGCCGCCCGCCGCCGCCGCCGCCGCCGCCAAGCCGCGCAGACCCAAGGACCGGCGCGACCGCGAGAAGCGCAGGCACGGCCTGGGCGCCGCCGGCCGCCATGAGAACGGAGAGGCCAAGCCGCCGCCGCCGCCGCGAGGTGGGTGCCGGCGGGGAAGGGGAGCGCGCGGGCGCAGCGCGGCCGGGACGCCCGGGTCTCCCTTCCCGGGTCAGGCGCTGCAGGGACGCGGGGGACGGGTCTCGGGGAGCAGTCGCCGGGGTGTGCTGGCATAGGGACGGAGAGGAGGACCGGCTCTTACGGGTTACCCGGGGGAGCGGACGTGGTCGCAGGGAGCCTCCAGCCCCGGAAAATCCTGTCCCCCTCGTGGGTGGTGGGTGTATGGCGTAAGCTTCGGGGACCCGGACGTCTCATCCCCGTTGGGGAAAAGAGGCAGTGTGCGGGGCTTCGAGCGCGGGCCTTCGAGCGCGCCGTTTCTGAGGAGCCCGTCTTTCACCTTGCGAGCTGCTCCGTGTTCTGAGTGTTTTGAGCAGTCCCGTTTTAAACGCTACCCCTCTGAAGCTTTCAGCCGTCTCCGCCCACCCCCAGCAAATGATAACATCAGATGCTTTGACGTTCTTTGCCCAAAACAAGTAACTCCAGGGTGTTTCTGCATTAAAAAAAATGGGAAATTTTTCTCCTTAAATGCCCTTTTCCAGTATTCTTTTGTAGTGTAAGCTAGCATAGCTTTCAGAATTTCTTTAAAATAAGGGTCCTTAGTTATCTGTAGCTGTGTAGAGAAGCGATCGTAATACCAAGTGGACGGCTTGGAAAGTAGATCTCTATGTGATCACGAGGTTATGTAAATATACGTTGTCATTGTCACACAGTGTTGTGAAGTTTTCTGTTTTGTTTTGGAATGCAAGTGAAATGCCGAGCAGTTTTAGCCTTGGTGATCTAATGCTAGCTTAGATCTAGAGAAATTATATGAATAGAATTATTCACAATTTAAAAGACTGCTACACGGGACTATGTAAATGTCTACATCTAAGCCAAGCTAGTGGGCCTGTACTCTTATCCCAGTCAGCGTAGCCCCTGTGTTTTTAGTGTTGTTGCCTCACGAATGTTTTTAGTATGAAATTTATTTTCCTTCTGCTCTTGAGTTTTAGGTGGTTAGCATTTTTATTCTCTATGTTGCATTGGTTACATAGAAAATTTAAGTTATAAAATGCTTCGGGGTCGATCCATACGCAGTTGGAATCATACTTACTTGTGTAAGCTTCCCATCGGCGTTTCCCGTGTTTTGTGCAGAAGTGGACTCTGTTGATGGAGTGCTTGACTGATGAAAAGAAATAAGTATTTTAAGAAACATTATTGACTTAAAATGTGTTGGGTGTGTGTATATATGTGTGCGTGTGTAATATATACATATGTATTATATGTGTGAGCAAGATTTTCCGTTTTAAAGGGCGTTTAAAACCCTCCTTTGGGAGAGTGCTGAGATGGCTCAGGCGTTTGGCTGTGTAGCATGACCCCACCCTCTGGGTTCAGTCCCAGGGACCCACAGGATGGAGAGAACCAGCTTCTCACAAGGTGTCCTCTGATCTCCAGATCCTCTGTGACACAATGTGCCCTCCAAATAAATGTAACCCCCAAACCTAAACTCTATTTTGTGGGCTATGTATTAGTTTTAAGTATAAGCAGCAATAGTTTTCACATTAAGATGTGGGGAAGAGAGTTTCCCATAACCTATGTGGGATAATGATTAGATGTTTACTGTTTTTTTTTTTCCCTCCTTTTTTAATTTTTTGTTTTTTCCAAGACAGGGTTGCTCTGTGTAGTTCTGGCTGCTCTGGAACTCACTCTGTAGACCAGGCTAGCCTCAAACTCACAGAGATCCTCCTTCTGGGATTAAAGATATGGGCCACCACAAGTAGCTAGATGTCAAATAAACACTTTATTGAGAAAAAAAATTGAAGTCAAAGCAAAAGAGAACTTTTCAGTGTTTTGGTGGATTCTAGAGTTTGAACTCAATCTGGGTTCTACTTTAACAAAAAAATGCTAGCAAAATAACAAGATTCTAGATATACTGTTTCATAGGTACTGTTGCAAGTATACAAGCACTTGTTTATCCTGCAGTGTTTATTTTTCCGTGCCTTTTATACAAGTCTTAGTAATGACTAAGTGATTGAAGTGTGCACTTTTAATTAATCTCTAAAAAGCTGGCGATTCTAGCTCACTCGCCCCTTTATTACCCATAGCTCATTGATTTACCAGACTTAGTACCAGAAATTAAGTATAAAGACATTTAAGAAAAATTGATCTTGCTGGGCCGTGGTGGTGCACGCCTTTATTCCAGCACCCAGGAGGCAGAGGCAGATGGATCTCTGACAGCCAGGGATACACAGAGAAACCCTGTCAACCAAACCAAAAAAGAATAGAAAAGTAGCCTGGCGTTGGTGGTGCACACCTTTAGTCCCAGCACTCGGGAGGCAGAGGCAGGAGGTACATACCACATCAGCTCTGTATTCAAGGTGCCTAGATTAGAACTTTCTTAATCTGCTCATCTATCCCTCCTAGCTTTAAAGGCAGATTAGGACTGACCCACCTTTAATTTATTGTAGAGGTAAGAAAATTATTAGCCATGCTTCCGACTCAAGAGTTGTTAAATGTTTATTTTATCCGAAGGCTTTCTGTTAGGTAAATGTAGCTAGCATCTGCTCAGGTGTGGAGGGCTCTAACCAGATGTAGTGGCTCACACCTGGAACCCCAGCACTAAAGAGGCTGAGGCCAGCCTGTTTGCTCTACGTGGTAGTTGGTTAGACTGAGCTACAAAGGGACACCCTGTCTCAAAACAACAAAAACAAACAACAAAAAAGTAGTTCAGGTTTCTAAAAACCCCTATGTAAATACAAGAGCCATATTTATTTAATACAGGTGCAGAACTGAGATCTACTTTTCTAATTTTTTTTTTTTTTTTTTTTTTTTAGTTTTTGGAGACAGGGTTTCTCTGTATTGTTTTGGAGCCTGTCCTGGAACTTGCTCTGTAGACCAGGCTGACCTTGAACTCAGAGATCCTCCTGCCTCTGCCTCCTGAGTGCTGGGACTAAAGGTGTGTGCCACCACCACCCCATGTCTGAATGGATTTTTTTTTTTTTTTTTTTTTTTTTGGTTTTACGAGACAGGGTTTCTCTGTATTGTTTTGGAGGCTGTCGGTCCAGCCAGGCCTCGAACTCACAGAGATCCGCCTACCTCTGCCTCCCGAGTGCTGAGATTAAAGGCGTGCGCCACCACCGCCCAGTGGATTTTTAAAATTACAAAATAACCAGATGAGCTACTCAATTTTTTGTAACACCAAATGAGGTTTGAATTGTAAAATCCAGAACTAGACATGATGATTCATGCCTGTAATCTGAGCATTTGAGAGGGAGCCAGAGGATTTAGGGTGTTGGGCCAGCCTGAGCTACCTAGTGAGACTCTGTCTTTAACAAGAAAAAGTGGAAAGTAAAATGGTGTACTGAAGGTATCATGCACTTTCACACATTCCAATAATGGAATGCTTTCTGTCTGTATCTGTGTAGTGTGTGTTGTATGTGGGGTGCATGCCCATGCAGAGGCCGGAACAGGAATTTGGGTGTTTTCTATTGCTTTCTACCTTACTACCTTGAGATACCATCTCTCCCTGAACTGAAAAGCATGCCTGTGGCTAAGTTGACAGGTCTGAGTGCTCTATGGATTCACCTGTCTTTGTCCCCTAGTGCTGGGGTGGCAGTCACATTCAGCCACGCCTGGTTTCTTACATGGGTGCTGGGAATTTGAACCCAAGTTCTCACGTGTAAGCAGCGTGCTGTCTTATCCACTGAACCATCTTCTTAGCGCCGTAGTTAAGAGTTTTCATCCTACTGGCACTGCTGAGAGCTAATAGTTCACTAAGATTGTGTTGGGTAGCCTATTGTTTTTGTGCACCCCCCCTCCCTCCCCCCCTCCCGCATGCGCCTAGTGAAGTCTTTCTGTACCCGCCAGCAGCTTTCCAACATGCTTCTTAGTACACTTTTCCATGTGTCTAAATCTGTACCTTCTTCCTGACTGAGTCCGGGTGGCTTCCTCAAGGCCTGCGTCGTTGTAAAGCTGTCCGGCTGACAGCCTGCAGTGCCTGTCATTTCTGTTGTGTCCTTTTTCTGCGTCCCTGCTTTCTAGTTGACTCTCTCAGCTGCGTACTGTAAGGAACACGTAGAAACTACTTTTTTGGGTTTTCATTTTACCCCCACACTTGGCTGTTTATCTGCTGAGGGTTTTTTTTCTCAAGCTACTTGCTCTGGAAAGTTTGAAGATAGTGTTCTGTAATTTTCTGCCTTCTAAAGTTGATATTCAGAGAAACTGATCTCTAAGAAGTGGTCTATTCTATGTTAGCCCTTTCACTGGTTTTTAGGAGGCCAATGCCTTATCCATTAGGCAACTGGGGCTGACCTTACACTAGTTTTTAAAAATTGAGCTTTGAAAAAAAAAAAGAAAAGCATAAGTCCTTGTGCTTTTGTTCCTATATTACAATATCTTTTTTTTTTTTGTGGGCTCAGCATCTCTGTTATTCAAGGATGCTAATTATAGTTTCTTTGAAATGTTCTGTTTCCTGCCTTGCTTTTGGTTCTGCTAATCTTTTTTTCCTGTTTGTTTTGGTCTCATTTATTTGGAGGCTGCCCTCAAATCGGTGTTATTTTTAGCAGTTCTTTCATATTTAAGAGAAAGTTACCAACATTCATCGAGAGCTCCTGAACATGTATAGGTAGGGCTTACTGAGCTCATGGTTTTTTTTTCTGGGTTAAGCACTCACTGCTTCTTCAGACTAAACTTCGTTTTTGTCTCTTTCGGGTCAGATGCTGGACAGAATGGCTTCCTCACCCAGCCTAGGGTCTTCACGGGTGGAAGCTGGGAGCCTGAGATGAGTATCCTGCCGCGGTGGTTCAGTTCTGGAGGGCCACTCTCCCTGTCTGCAGATGTCTGCCTTCTCCTCTGTGTATTCTCGGGCCTTTCTCAGGTGCTTGGCTTTTGTGGGGCAGGAGGGAGATAGCTGGCTTACTCTCTTCCTAGAAGGCAAGTCTTACTATTTCTGCCTCTCCCGTTTGTGATGTCTTACTTTTCCCTCACAGAGAAACCCAGTCTCTCGG